GGAGTCCATCGGCCCCGAATTCATCAGCAGATGTGCTTTCAATGTCATTCTGCTCAAACCAGTCTTCCATAAATCGTGCAGCAGCACCCTTGTTATCCCCACTTATCAAAGAGTTTGTACGACTCATAGAAGTTCCATGAGTTGCAAACCAATTGAAGCTACCCACTGGTCCCCACTGGTCATCAACAAACTTCAAAAGGGTCATTTCCTTATCAACATTATACTTATATCTGCTGCGCTCTGCTGCAGGATTATTAAGATAACCGCTAGGACTGCGGTTTACACCAGCATCTAAAAGCTCCCCTGCAAGTTTAAGGCCAAAACTTCTAAGATTTTTTTGTGCAATAAGGAGGCTATCCACAAAGATTTAGTTGCATTAGACAAACATAAAAAAATTTCTGTAAAATTTATATATAGAAAGAATGAAGCAGAAATAAAAGCCCCCCCTCTTACCCTTATTCACAAAAATTGATCCCGGCCGGAGATTTTCATGAGCTTGTATAATGCTTTTCTCTATACCATCTACAAGGACATCAAATGACTGACGAACAAATCCAAGAGATGTCACAATATACACGATATATTGGAGATAACCCCCAGGACCAGCATGGGTGTGAATACCACTGATAGCAACATTCTTTTCGGTATATAGGTCCCCATACCTGCTAACACATTCATTATTTCGTAAATAATACCATTTTATAGCCATGACCAAGTGCAATTCTAAAGACTCTTCACCAAATTGCTAGAACTTTGCAGCAGAACCAGCTCACAAAATAAAAAGAGTCATACATCCACATATGCTGTTTTTTTCCAATGACAATATTGAAATTTTTAGCTCAAACATAAATCATTATGCATAACAAGTGCAACGGATAAGGAAAAAGCATCGAGATGATAATCACCTTGCCTTCAACCTCTCAAGCACTTTGATTGTTACAAGCTGTGAGGCCATACAAGCATCAAGATTTACAAACACAACACGGTTCCCCTGTGGCTCTGCCACAATGAATGAACGAGCTCGCAACCTAAAGTGAAGTCCAGATGCAATCTGCTCCATGTTAGCATAACCCATCATATTAACATCAGCTGCAGGTCCTGTAATGTCATAGCTCCCTAACCCAACTAAATAATTCGAACCCGATAATACTCCTCCACTGTTCCCTAGCAAGAATACTAGAAATGCCCAGAACCAAATAGTTCTACGCAGCCTTTGAAAACTTAAATAAGCAGAGAACTCCATCATAACTTAACCCCACCAAGTAGAACAACCAAAACTCAATCAATCCTTTCCATTCACCTTCAAAAGAAACAAAAAACCACATATTAAACACACTAAAATGAAACCATTTCCATTATAATCTAAAAACACACAAAAATTCAGCTCCCGGTTGAACCTATATTTGGAAACAAAAACCAATTAATTCAAGCAAAGAAGAAAAGATTAAAAATTTACAATTGCAACCCAGAAGTAAATTGATCGTCCTATAAGGAAAATCAACATGCAAAATGCATAAGTTTGAGTAGAGGGTAGAGCTATTTGAGCAGAAAATTAAAAATTTAAACAGAAGGTTATATAAGAATTAGGAAAAGCAACGACTCAAAGGACTGAACAGTAATTTACCTGAGAATAAAAAAGAGGGACAGCGAGAGAGTCTGAAAGAGGAGTCTTGAAAAGGGAGCAACAAGAAGACTGGTTGGCGTGGAAGGGAAGATGGAGAGTAGTGAAGAAGAGTTGAGTTTTGGCCTGCGGGTGTTTGATCAAATTCTAATTTATTTCTTTGCTTTGAAATTGACAGTTGGGTGCATGGAGTTTCTGTGTTATTATTTTTGTCCACCTTTTTATATATAAATGATTAATACTCTAATTTTATTTATTTTTTAAGAATTATAATGAAAAAGCCTTTAATTCATAATTTGAACAGCACTCTATAATTCTATCAATAGTTTTGAGTAATTTTTATTTTTGACACTACAAGTGTCTCACAGTTTTATTGATGGTTTTGTGACTTCGTCCCTTTAAGTTTAAAATACATACACTCAATTAATCTTATACGAGCACGATTTGAGATTTTATGTCATAATAATGGAAAATTTTATATTAAATGGAATAATTTAATTATTTAAAAACACAATTTCTTATAATTGAAAACATTAACAAAATCATGCATTCCCAACTCCCAAGTTTAATACAAATTTTAGATAAGAAACGTGTCAGTAACCCAACTGAATAGCAGGAATTTTAAATTTGTTGCGGGGTTACGTAATCAGAAGACAACAGACAAGCAAAATACTGCACACAAAAAAATATCTGAGGACACCAAACAATCCAAACGTGTACAGCCCGAATGAAATAACCAGGCAATTACCGTGGGCCCATTTGCTGGCAAAAAGCCCACAGAATTTTAGCTCATTATTCACGTCAATGTCCATATTATAGTTATAATGTAATTCTGTACCTGATAAGGCATTTTGATGTTGATATTTGATAACTTAAAAAGATAACATCGGACCCATATTTTAACGGTTTGCAATTTTCGGAAGCTATTAAATATTGATATTTACAAATAGGGATGAGAAGCGAGCCGAGCAGTTCGTGAGCTACTCGAGCTCGACTCGTGAAAAGCTTGAGCTCGAGCTCGAGTGGCTTGTTTAAGGGATTGAGTCGAGTTCGATCAGGGTGAAGTTCGGCTTTATAGGCTCGCGAGCCTCATTGTGCTTGAAGGGCCAAATTGTAAGTTGTGTAATTTTTTTTTTTATTTTCAAGTTTTTAAAATGACAAACAGCCCCTTCTCACAATAAACTAGAAGCTAGAGCACGAGCTTGAGTATCCACCCATACTCGCGAGCTCGAGCTTGACATTGTTTATCACGAACCGAGCTCGAGTGTCCAAATACTCGGCTTGGCTCGGCTCGTATACAACCCTATTTACAAATGGTTTTTAGTAATTTTAGGAGATTTTTAATAGATTTCAAGATGGTTGGGACCGATAAACGGACCAGTAGAAGGAAGTAGAGAGCCCAACCACACGGTCCGAGTTTAGATAGAACTCATTCCTAAAAGTTAATTCAAGAGAAAGTGAAGTCCAATATCATATATATACACCATAATAATCCACCAACTTAATAATATGAGATAAATTCAATTTTTACCAGGATGTTTAAGATTTAGTAATTTTCCTTTGTGGAAGAACTTTTACCTCGTCTACAGCCGAGCTTCTATTGCTGGTCACGATTGCTCTTTTTGGGTATGTCTTTTTACCATTAAACATGAAAGTACAAAGTTTATGGCGTAGTAAGATCTTTTCTTTTCCCTAGTTTAATCAATCTTCCAACAATCAGCCACTTATATATCTAGGATACTGATGAGACCTGGAGGATGAGGGTGTAGTGAAGGATAAATAAGGTAGGAAGTAGTGGATAGAAAGGAAGCTGGCAGGACGTTTCCATGGGTTTAGACTTAAATTCAACTTCTAACAGGACGCTTGAGATTTAGTAATTTTGAATTCTTATGAAGTTATAACATAACAAAACTTGCAATGGAATATTCTCATATATCGTTCAGAGAAAACGACTTTTTCCCACCCAAGGTTTGCTTTCATAACACTTTTCCACCCAAAAAGTTTCAAAATACTACTTTCCCACTCAAAGTTTATATTTTTGGCGTTCGGTGAATTATCAAGAACTAGAGTAAGAGGGGTTTTGTAGAGTGGAATCGGTGGATTGAATGGTAGTAACAAATTGAATATTCACTACCGGAATCAATCAAAAATAGGCTAAGAACAGGAAACTTTAAATTTGCGGTGACTAACAATCGGTGAGAAATCAGGTGCCAGAGAGAGAGAGGTTTTATAGAGAAGAGACCGGAGATTCAAATGGTTGTGATGAAGAGAACATTTCGCCATTGTCGGCTTTGGGTATTAACGGAATATAAATTTTGGGTGGGAAAGTGGTATTTTGAAACTTTTTGGGTGGGAAAGTGTCATTAAGGCAAACCTTGGGTAGCAAAAAGTCGTTTACTCATATTGTTCATGAAATTCGTGGATGCGTTTGTTACTTTCGCCAAACGTTTAAAAGCGAAAAACTGCAATATTCTCCTACTGCTATTGTTTGTTTCCAGAAAAATTACACATCAGAATAGTTAGAAATGTAAATTAATTGTGATTTTTCCTGGAAATTTCTTGCCAGTGTCAATCTGCAGTAAGTTGGTAAGTTGTGCATTTTGTACCTGAGATTTATTGGATGAACTTATCAAAATACAGTAATGTATGTTCATGTTGCTTTGTGCTTGTTTTGTGTATGTTTATGTGCTGAGACTGATAGAGCATGAACACTCAAATGCTTTTCCTTATTACTGAGGCTTCTGATAAATACCATGCCATGTTTTATCTGCTGTAGGAGAACCGAGATGTCCTCAAATTTCTAGCTTGTAGGAGAATCAAGATGACCTCAAAATTTCTAGCTTTGGCTCTCCTTATGCAAGACATTGGCTAAAGCGGATTCCGACACAAAAGAAGCCACCAATAGATGCAAAGCCTGGTAAGTAAAACAAATTCACAAATTATCAAAAGGGAATGAATTATCTTTTCATTCAGATGATTTTCACTGGTTTAATTCTCGTCGGATAAAGATTTTGAATAATGTGAGGTGGTAAGGCAGAAGCAACAGTTGAATTGGCTAGGCAGAGTAAATATATACTCTTATAGCACTTGCTTGAATAATAAAGCTCATTGGTATGTTACTTCTACTCTCTTATTGTTAATTGAACTTAGAAACGACCTATAAAATAATTTTAAATGCACACTAAAATATATGCAAAAAGATATCAATAGATGCATTGTTAAAGTTTTACTGCAGAAATATGTATGTTAACTTACCTCCTCCCTGTCCACATGCACAACACCCTCCTCTATGTCACTGAAAGGTATATTCAGTTTGTTCAAAAGAGACAAACATGAGATTTGGTATATAGGTGTTATGATCAGACTGTTGGCTTTCAGTTAAGCCAATGATTCAGTCCTCAAACACCATGCCATTGGTCTATTCATGCATCTTGCTTATGGAAATTTTACAAAAATAAAAATTGCAGAAGTTTAGCTTCCCTAACTAGCATAAAAACCTAAAAATTGTAATGTAGACGCCCTGTTTCTCAATTTATGCAAATTAGAAGAAAAACATAGTTTCGTCTTGTGTTTTCGTTAGAAAGAAAGATGGTACACACAGAAGCAAACTCAAAATTGCAAATAGAATGCAAATCCTTTGTAGTAACATATTATATGCAACACACCCTTTGGTCTAAAAGCATGCCAGAGTACATACACAAAATTTAACAAAATATATAAAAAAGTTTCACATGAACAACATTCCATGTTTTAGTAGAAAAAATTATCCTGACTATACTAGATTTGGCTCTCTCAGAAAGGCATTGGTCAAAGCAGATTCCGATACAAAAGAAGCCACTAATAGACGCAAAGCCTGCAAAGTAAAACAAATTCATAAGTTATCAACAAGTGAATAGATAACATGCTTTCAGATAATCTTCAATGGATTCTCTTCTTGAACAGCTTTTGAATTAAAACTCTCCATCTGTATAGTCTAACTAATGGGAGGTGGTAATGCGGCAGCAAAAATATAATTGCCAGTAGCTTAGTGTGGTAGATTTGTGGCTTGGCACAATAAACTGATAGCATTTGTATTTTACTTCTATACCTTACTATTCATTGAAAACAATGAATTTGGAGATGGCAATACCTTGCAATTTGAAAGGCCTTACAACATAAAAATAATAAAAGATACAAATGGTATGGGAATCTAAAACCTTATGAAGAAATAAGCTATTTGGCTGATGCAGTTATTCATCGTTACTTTAAAGCTAACAAGACTTCTAATGCTTTTGCCAATGTGAGTAAAACCCTAAAAGCTAATAAAACCTTAAATACATGTATGAAACTTTATATTCTTTGCTGTGTCTTGCTGGGTGAATTTCTGTGATTATGTCCCAGAATAATGTTTTGCACTAACAAAATGAAAATGATATATATTTCTGGTCTCATCATACTTTATGGTTTCGAACAGTAACATTCTAGCAGGTTAGGCAAAATGAAAGAAAGTTAAATCATAGGGACTTGAATTTCGAAGAAATTCTTAAAGGTTTTATGCCAAAATCACCATGCCCTTCTATAACAACATCCCAAAATAGTCAAAAGAAACTACTATCAAAAATCATGGGATGCATTGTTAGAGTTTAATACTTAAATATTTATGTCAACTTACCTTCCCACTGCCCACATCCACAACACGCTCCTCAATATCGCTGAAAGGTACTTTCAATTTGTTCAGAAGAGACAGACTTTGGACTTGAGAAATGGGTGTGATGATCAGATTGTCAGTTACGGTAAACATTGTTGGTCCAGTCACAAATCCTCCTCTTGTGGCTTCTTTAAAATGAGACTTAGGATCCTTGACAGTTAAAATTGAACTTCTCCAATCAGAAGGAATTTGACCATCAGAAGTCAGTGTATAATGATGTTTATAATCTGAAAAACAGTATGCTGGGTGCAAACCTTCTTCAATGCCTAACAGATGGTTCTCATAGCTAAAATCAGGGGCGAGCTTTGGACTTATGAGCATTTCCTTGTGCTCATTAGATTTCAAGTATTTCTCGGCATCTAGTTCCTGAACACTATTGTACAGGTGAGTTAAGGATCCTTTTGAAATGCTATTCTGCATTTCTTTTATTATATAACCAAGTGGAACAGTTAGGAAACTGGTGACTAAATCAACAAATTCTTCACTTGCTTCGGCATAACAAACCATTTTCTTGGATTTGCTGATGACAAGCTTTACATGAATCATCCCATCCACATTTGATTCTGGTTCTTCTACTGTAGATTCAACATAGATGTTCTGATCAAAATCTTCTTTGCCGAACTTTGGTGCTGAAATTTGTTTCAACAAAGTTTCTGTCAAAGGTTTCTTTGACACTAGTGAGCACTTGAGCAAAGTGAGAACCTGAAAGAAGGCATCAGATCATGAACACAACCACAGTTCAGCTATCTAACAAATTGTGAAATTATTAATCATATCCAGAGAGCTGATAAAATAAAAGATGATAGCAGATCAAATTCAAAAGCCCTGCTTTTTGCCAATTATAACTGTTGATTAGTTAGCTTCTGACATTTTAGCTTGACTGTGAAGCATTTTTTCTTTCTTTTTTTCTTTTAATCCCCATCATTTACTTCTAAAAAGGCAAACTGCATTGAAAGTGAATTATTTCCTGGAGATATTCATCACGAGTACAAATTGGTTTCTTCATGTACTAAGTTGGATCATACAAAACGATTCTTCCCTACAAATAATGGTAGAATCTGATAAAATTATTAAATTTAAGAATCATAATGAAATAGTTACCTCATCTTCTCCTATGTCGATGTTGTACTCCTCAGTGGAGCTACAGTCCATGAGTCCTAGCTGGGACACTACAGAAAGGCTTGCTTCTAGTGATGAGGGCTTTACTTGTAATTCATCACTTATTATAAATTGGGTCAGTCCTTTAACAAACACTCCTCTGTCTCGAGCATCAAAAACTAACTTTTTTACAGTCATCTCTGACAACTTGATCCTCCAATCCATGAGCTGTCCACATTCACAAACAGCATTAGGGTAGAGACTCAGTAACTTGTGCCCAGAAAGGGAAAAATCCTTAGTCCATGGGCACAAGAAGTACGTCGGCGGCTCACCATCGTCAATTTGCAATTTTAGTCTCTTGTTCTGAGGTGCAGCGCCATTTCTGGGACATAGCAACATGGTCTTGCATGCTTCAGTCCGGAAACGCTGCATGTCAAGGTTCTTAATGCTTTCATACAAATTGTTCATGCAACCTATCTCCACTGTTGGTGGCTGATTATGATTAGAAATAAGCCTGATGATTGTTCCCATGGGCATTGTCAAGAAACTAAAAAGAACATCCGTAAAGTCTTCATCTGATTCCGCAAATATAACTCTGTTGTTCTCTTTATCCACCAAGGCCTTCAAGCTAATTGCTTTTGCTTTTTCCTTAGTCATTGAGTATATGCTTTCAAATCTTGCTTTGTTCAAATACTGGATACAACCTGCAAAATCAAGGCTTAATCAATCACTTATCTAAGCCTGAAGCCTTTTGTTCATACACTTCAAGAAATTTTGAAATCTGTGCAGAAACTCAACAAATAGGCATTTTCTTGAAACAAGGAAAAGGATAAATTGATTCAAAAACACCATGATTCTAAGCTGATCTCCACAAGGCTGGAAGATTTAAGGACTTTTTCTTAGTGCACATGTTCACATACATATTGTACATTAAGAAAAAACATAAATCATTGAACAAAGTAATGAGTTTTATATAAACTTAAAAATAAACTTACTTAAAGGAGTTCAATGGGCTAGAAAAGAACATCATCAGAAAAATCAAAACAAGAAGATTGTGGAGATGTGATCATTAACTAATGTTTACAAGTCGTGAAAATCTTGAATGTTTAGAGCTTTCTGGGATTGAAATAATGATTAAAACATTCTAAACACTGATGAATAAAAGCTAAGATTAAATAACTAATACAAGTAATAATTCTACAGAGAAAACAGCCCATATAGTCATGCTGTTAACTCTAGCTCAGAAGCTCAAGAACTTAACTTTAAAAGTAACGCATATTATATGACAAAAACATATATAGTACCTGGTGATCACCGAGCTACTGTTGCTGGAGAGGAGTTCAATGAAGGATTCAGAGAACAGAGAATGGAGAAAATCAAGTAGAAGGGAAGTTTTAAGTAAGTTAAAAGGCGTATCCGTACATATGTAGCCCATTATCTTTAGCAACTTCTTTATTAAGGCAAGAGTTCTTAAGGGAGAAGAAATGAACAGTCCAGTACTTGAATTGACTTTTGATCTTCTTGAAACAGAGAAAATATTATTCCAAGAGAAAATACCCATATTGGAACTTAATTATTTCCAGAATATACCCTTTTTCAAAGATTTTTAACAGAGAAAAAGTTAATCAAAGATTTTTGTATCTGTTTGAAGCCTTTTCCATTCACTTAAAAAATTGTAAAAAGTTCCATTTCCACTGAAACATGCACACTGATATGTTTGGAATTTCAGCTTTTTCCAAGTTAAATTTGTTTATCACATACTGGTGCTTAATTATTTCCAGAATATACCCATTATCATGAAGTAAAATGATTACTTAATTTAAGGAGTTTGATCCAAATTAAGCTGGTGTCCACAGGAAATATTTATGCATTGTAAAATTAATCCCAAAACAAAAAAAGAAACTGCTCACACCATTTAAGAGAGCAAGGTAGTAAATAATCTGATAAAAGAATTGTTAATTATAACTGGAAGTCTGGAACTGAACCATTAAAATTAGTCCCATTGAAATCACTCCAATCTTCAATGTTTATAGCTTTGTGGGGGTTGAAATAACAGTATAATCATGCCAAGCATATGTAATTGAAGAAGATTAAACAACTAATAGAAAAGTCTCTACAGACCAAAACTCATATATCGGCTAGCTCAAGAACCCAACATTATATAAGAAGTGATGATTTATGATGAAGTTATGTATGGTACCTGATGATCGCCAAATGCAGCTAGTTAGCTAGCTAGTGTTGCTTCAGAAGTGTACTGAAGGACTTGGGAAAGGTTGGACAGCGAAGAGAAAAACAAGTAGAAAAGCAGTTTTAAAGGAAGTAAAGTAAGCTGGAGGTGCATCACTTTGTGTAGACCTATCATCTTTCCAATCTGTGGGAAAAGGAAATGGGAAAGCAACATGCACCTACGCATGGTTTGCTGTAATGACAATATGATACCCAAAAAATTTGAAAATAACAAATAAGCTATTTTCCGATAGACTCTGTTAAAAGATTTCCGTTTGCTAAAGATAGCAGTGATTGAAAAGACTGAAATGCCCTTTAAAGTTTGATATGCCTTTTTATCTTTATCTCTCTGTTTTCATCTCTTTATCTTCCTCTATACTTTAGCAGTCAATAATTCCCTCTTTCTCCGTCCCTAATCCACAGCCACCGTTCTAATCTACCCTTCCCTAGCACGACTTCGAACGCCTTAAATCCCACCAATCCTCCTCTGTCTCAAATCCCACCAACGCCTCCCACCCTACCACTACCTCCACTCCACTTTATTCGCCGGCCACTGATATTAATTCACTCTCTCCTCCCTCAATCAGCCACCGTTGTTTTCTCCTCTATTAATCTCAGGGCACAAAGACCTCCACACCCCTTCTTTTTTCCTTTTATTTTCTTTAAAAAAAGGCCCAAAAGAATTGATTGTACTGTTTTGATTTTTTTACTGAGGATTATGGAGCTGCAGGTTGTTTTGCGCGGTGAAGGGGGTGCAGATGATGTCTTTTTGGGGTTGTTGGGCGGGCTGAAAGGTTTCAGGACATGAGGAAAGGGTGAGGTGGGTTTGTTGGGATGGGAGCAACGTGAATGGGGTGGGTGGGTTTGCTGGGTGAAAGAGGGAATTATTGGCTGCCAAAGGATGGTGATATTCGCTTCTGAAAAAAATTCTTCAAGGTTATGAAGATGTGTTTGTTGGTGGTTTTGAGAAGTTTGCAACGGTGGAGGATGGGGGAGATTGGACTAGACTGTGAAGTGGTTGTGTAGATGATTTTACAAGAAAGACAATTTGTGAAAGAGGTTTTAGGAAATTTAATTTTAATTAGAGTAAACATAATCAATAAAATTTATCCCTTTACCATTTGAATTCTGGCAAAATCTCATTGGTATGTTACTTCTACTCTCTTATTGTTGATTGAACTTAGAAACCACCTATAAAATAATTTTAAATGCACACTAAAATATATGCAAAAAGAAATCAATAGATGCATTGTTAAAGTTTTACTGCAGAAATATTTATGTTAGCTTACCTCCTCGCTGCCTGCATGCACAACATGCTCCCTTATGTCACTGAAAGGTATATTCTGTTTGTTCAAAAGAGACAAACATGAGATTTGGTATATAGGTGTTATGATCAGATTGCTGGTCCTGCAAAAAATCCACCTTCTCTTGAGGTTTCCTTAGTATGAGATTTCGGATCCTTGACAGTTAAATATGAAGTTTTCCAACCACATCCAAAAGGGATATTATCTTTGGAAGTGAGAAGAAAAACTTGTGAACAATGAGAAACAGTAAGGTGGCATGGTTCTCATAGCTAAAATCAGGAGCCAGCTTAGAACTAAGTAGCATTGCCTTGTGCTCATTTTATTCAGAAAAAATGTATGAATGTGTAATTTGCTGGCTTTCAGTCCTCAAACACCATGCCATTGGCCTATTCATGCATCTTGCTTCTGGAAATTTAACAAAAATAAAAATTTTAGAAGTTTAGCTTCCCTATCTCGCATAAAAACCTAAAATTTGTAATGCAGACGTCTTGTTTCTCAATTTGTGCATATTAGAAGAAAAAAATGGTTTTATCTTGTGTGTTTGTTAGACAGAAAGATGGTACACACAGAAGCTAACTCAAAATTGCAAATACAATGCAAATCCTTTGTAGTAACATATTTAAATGCAATGCCCTCCGGTCTAAGAGCATGCCAGAGTACGTACATACACAAATTTTAACAAAATACATAAAAAAGTTTAACATGAACAACATTCCATATTTTAATAGAAAAAAAAATTATCCCGACTGTACTGGATTTGGCTCTCTCAGAAAGGCATTGGTCAGAGCAGATTCCGATACAAAAGAAGCCACCAATAGACGCAAAGCCTGCAAAATAAACAAATCCATAAGGTATCAACAAGGGAATTGATATCATGCTTTCAAATAATCTTCAATGGATTCTCTTGCTGAACAGCTTTTGAATTAAAACTCCATCTGTATAGTCTAATTAATGGGAGGTGGTAATGAATGCAGCAGCAAAAATAGAACTGGCAGTAGCTTAGTGTGGTAGATTATTGGCTTGGCACAATAAATTCATAGCAATGCCTTGCACTTTGACAAGACTTACAACATAAAAATAATAAAAGATACAGATAGTATGGGAATCTAAACCCTGCAGTTCTTCATTGTTACTTTTGAAGATTATAAGACTTCTAATGCTCTTGCCAAAGTGAGGAAAAATCTTAAAATACATGTATGAAACTTTATATTGTTTGCTGCATCTTGCTGGGTGAATTTCTGTGATTATGTCCCAGAATAATGTTTTGCACTAAGAAAATGAAAATGATTGATATAGCAGGTTTTGTCATACTTTATGGTTTCCAATAGTAACATTCTAGCAGGTTAGGCAAAATAAAAGAAAGTTAAATCATAGGGACTTTCTTATGCCAAAATCACCATGCGTTTCTATAACAAGATCTCAAAGTAGTCAAAAGAAACTACTATCAGAAATCATGGGATGCTCTGTTAAAGTTTAATACTGAAATATTTATGTCAGCTTACCTCCTGACTGCCCACATGCACAACACGCTCCTCAATATCGCTGAAAGGTACTTTCAATTTGTTCAGAAGAGACAGACTTGAGACTTGAGATATGGGTGTGATGATCAGATTGTCAGTTACGGTAAACATTGTTGGTCTAGTCACAAATCTTCCTCTTGTGGCTTCTTTAAAATGAGACTTAGGATCCTTGACAGTTAAAATTTTACTCGCAGTAAATCCAGAAGGAATTTCACCATCAGAAGTCAGTTTTACTACAAAATGAAAACCATTAAAACATTCTGTAGCACGGTATGTTGGGTGCAAACCTTCTTCAATGCCTAAAGGATGATTCCCATAGCTAAAATCAGGGGCGAGCTTCGGACTGATGAGCATTTCCTTGTGCTCATTAGATTTCAAGTATTTCTCAGCATTGAGTTCCTGTATACTATTGTACAAGTGAGTTAAGGATCCTTTTGAAATGCTACTCTGCATTTCTTTTATTATATAACCAAGTGGAACAGTTAGGAAACTGGAGACTAAATTAACAAATTCTTCACTTGCTTCGGCATAACAAACCATTTTCTTGGATTTGCTGACCATAAGCTGTACATGAATCTTCCCATCCACATTTGATTCTGGTTCTTTTACTTTAGATTCAATATAGATGTTCTGATCAAAATCTTCTTTGCCGAACTTTGGTGCTGAAGTTTGTTTCAACAAAGTTTCGGTCAAAGGTTTCTTTGACACCAGTGAACACTTGAGCAAAGTGAGAACCTGAAAGAAAGCATCAGGTCACGAATACAACCACAGTTCAGTTATCTAATAAATTGTGAAATTATTAAGCGTATTCAGAGAGCTGATATAATAAAAGATGATGGTAGATCAAATTCAAAAGCCCTACTTTTTGCCAATTGTAACTGTTGATTAGTTAGCTTTTGACATTTTTACCTTGACTGTGAAACATTTTTCCTTTCCTTTTTCCTTTTAGTCCCCATCATTTACTTCTAGAAAAGCAAACTGCATTGAAGGTGAATTATTTCCAGGAGATGTTCATCACGAGTACAAATTGGTTTCTTCTATGTACTAAGTTTGATCATACAAAACGATTCTTAACTACAAATAATGGTAGAATCTGATAAAATTATTAAGTTCTAGAATCAGAATGAAATAGTTACCTCATCTACTCCTATGTCGATGTTGTACTCCTCAATGGCGCTACAGTCCATGAATCCCAGCTTGGACATTATAGAAAGGCTTGCTTCTCGAGATGAGGGCTTTATTTGTAATTCATCACTTATTATAAATTGGGTCAGTCCTTTAACAAACACTCCTCTATCTCGAGCATCAAAAACTAACTTTTGTACAGTCTTCTCTGACAACTCCATCGTCCTATCCATGAGCCGTCCACATTCGCAAACAGCATTAGGGTAGAGACTCAGTAACTTGTGTTTATAAAGGGTGCAATCCATATAGCATAAGAAGTACCTCAGCAGCTCGCCATCATCAATTTGCAATTTTAGTCTCTTGTTCTGAGCTGCAGCACCATTTCTGGGGCATAGCAACATGGTCTTGCATGCTTCACTCCGGAAATACTGCATGTCAAGGTTCTTAATGCTTTCATACAAATTGTTCATGCAACCTATCTCCACTGTTGGTGGTTGGTTATGATTAGAAATAAGCCTGATGATTGTTCCCATGGGCATTGTCAAGAAGCTAAACAGAACATCAGTAAAGTCCTCATCTGATTCCGCAAATATAACTCTGTTGTTCTCTTTGTCCACCAAGGCCTTCAAGCTAATTGCTTTTGCTTCTTCCTTAGTCACTGAGTACATGCTTTCAAATCTTGCTTTGTTCAAATACTGAATACAACCTGCAAAATCAATTACTTATCTAAGCCTGAAGCCTTGTGTTCCTACACTTGAAGAAATTTTGAAATCTATGCAAAAGCTCATTTTTTGGCTAAATGCATATATAGTTATTGGATTTCGTACACAAAATCTAATTGCAATAAACAGAAACTCAACAAATAGCCATTTCTTGAAACAAGGAAAAGGATAAATTTATTCAAAAACACCATGATTCTAACTGATCTCCACAATGCTGGAAGATTCTAATTGATGATAAAAGCTAAGATTAAATAACTAATACAAGTCATAATTCTACAGAGCAAACAGCCCATATAGTCATACTATTAACTCTAGCTCAGATGCTCAAGAATTTAACTTGAAAATTAACTGATGTTATATGACAAAAACATATATAGTACCTGGGGATCACCAAGCTACTGTTGCTGGAGAGGAATTCAATGAAGGATTCAGAGAACAGAGAAGCAAGTAGAAGTAAGTTAAAAGGTGTATCCATAGATGTGTGGTCCATTATCTTTAGTAACTTGCTTTTTAAGGCAAGAATTCTTAAGGGAGAAGAAATGAACACCAGTTCTTGACTTGACTTTTGATCTTCTTGTAACAGAGAAAATAGAAATACAATCACACCACATAAAAAGACACGATATTTACGCAGTTTGACATAACTGATCTACATCCACGGATAAGAGAAATACACTATAATTTCATAAATATGGTATACAAGAGAACACAACACCGTAAACCTAATATAAAAACAATCCTACTTTCTAACCATGCTCAACTCAGTAAGTGGAAACAATCCAAGTTTCCAAGACACAAACCCAGTTTCCAAGACACTCTTCACATGTTGTTTAATAACCTTTACATCAAACATCTTGTATTTTCATAGTTTTTCATAACCTTGAATTAGTTCTCACCCCCGATATTTATAGGTAGTATATGAGACATTCTATTTCTAATAGGATTCATATTTCAATTCTTAATAAGACTCTCATAACTTTCTTCCTATTTACAATTGTATTCTTTATTAAATAGTTTTCTAAAAACACACGATCTTACATGGAACAAATAAGAAAGCGAACCACAATATCCCAACACAGTAAGCCATATTTTAGCTGAAATAAGATTATCCTGACTGTTTTAGATTTGACTCTCTCAGAAAGGCAATGATCAAAGTATATTCGGATACAAAAGAAGCCACCAATAAACGCAAAGCCTGCAATGCCAAACAAATTCACAAAGTATCAACAAGGAAAGAAAATAGCAATTCAATAATTTTATTAGATTTTTAATGTCATAAAGCTCATGAATGATTCAGAACTCTCCATTTGTGCAGCATAATGAGTGGGAAAATGAATACATTCAGTAGAGTAAGAATCTGAACACATTAGTGTCCTCAATTCCACTTCAAAGCAAATTATACTTCTAATGCAGTTGCCAATATGCTCACAAAAATTAAGTATGTGAACTAGTATAAGATTTCTTTCTAGCCTCTGGTTTTCGAAATAGCAATATCAGGTTATATCATAAAATAAATTATGGTTTTCAACACTGAAAAATGATAAATCTGTTAGAATGAACTTTACAAATTTGTTAAACTTTTCAGTGCAAGATCACCAAAATTTTTATGAAAAGGCCTAAGATTTTTGAAAGAATTATTATAAAATATGAAGAAGTTGCTTTGCTATAGTTTTATTTCAGAGATTGATATGCTAACTTACACTGAAAGGTACCTTCAATTTGTTCAGAAGAGACAAACCTGAAATTGGGGATATTTGTGTTATCTTCCTCAATGCCCAAAGGATGATTCTCATAGCCAAAATTAGGGGCAAGCTTGGGACAGAGAAGCATTGCCTTGTGCTCGTTGAATTCAGATATTCCTCGGCATCTATCAGTATAATAAACCATTTCTTGGATTTCCTGACAGTAAGCCTGATGCGAATCTTTGTATTTTCGTTCGATGCTAGATCTTCCATTTTGGTTTTTATATAGCTGATGTTGCCAAACACCTTTTTGGTTCAATTCAGGTGCCGGAATACGTTTAAGAAAAGTTTCTGTCAAAGGTGTCTTTGTTATCAGTGATATCTTGAGCAAAGTCAAAACCCGAAGGAAGACATATAGTTAATATCTTCATACATGTGAAAAAATTCATGAATTAATCATCTCCATAGCAAGGGGTGCATACCTCATCTTCTCCTCTGTTGTGCTTCCATCGATGAGTCCTACCTTCCGAAGTAAAGAAAGGCTAGCTTCAGTTGATGGGGGCATTTCTTCTAATTCATCACATACTATCAGTCTGAGTCAGTTCTTTAACAAACTCCCCTCTATATCCATGCTCGTCCTACAGTCACAAATGGCATTTCTGTAATGACTCAAATGAGCACAATCGTCATCTCTGCCAATGAAGGAACTCAGCAAAGTATCATCAATATTCAATTTTTGTCTCTTGCAATGATGTACCGCTGCATTTCTGGGGTATAACAACATGTTCTTGCATGCTTCATATAAATTGTTCATGCAACCTATCCCCACCATTGGTGGTTGATTACGGATGAGCCTGATGATTGTTCCTCATTTAAAGAAGATTAAATAGTGTACTGAGTAGAGAAAACCAAGTAGAAAAGCCATTTTAGGGAAAGTATGTATACAGCAAGTTAAAGGAAAGGTGCATCGTTGCCTGTGCGGTAAGTTACTTATGTATATAGTAAGTTAAAGGAAAGGTGCATCATCTTAGCCCAAAGTTTTGTTATTTTGTAAATTGACATTCATACAAATTTGCTTTTGAAATTCACACAAATTTGCTTTGAGATTAAACGCAAGTGCCGGTTACCCGAAATGGACCTTGAGCTTTCATAAGGTTGTGGCGTATCACATTATCCAAAATCCACGTTATTTGTATGGATTTATTGTTTGAGCTTCACATAAGCGATCTTATTATTAGAATTGCATCTACTTAGTTTATAGAATCATCCTGATGAATCTTGTATTCTCGTGAGATCGGCTCAAAATGCACTGTTGAAATCCCACCTTATGGACCTCATGCCCCACCATCAGATTGCAAGTTAGTTCAAAGAGCAATTTTAATCACTCAGATACCTTATGAATGGCCTAGTTCATGTGTTTTGCTTCTGATGGTATTACTCATCAGAATATCAAAAAATTTTGAAATATCAATTGAACTCCTTTTGGGGGAAATTGGGTCATTTTTGTACCTCAGGTTAGCTTAATGAATTTATCAAATTACAATCATGTGCTTTTATGCTAAGTTGTGCTTTGGGTGTCACAAAAAGATTTTCCTAAATGCCATATAGAGGTGGGGAGTTTTTAAAGCAAAAACACCATATTCTAATACATTGCCTTAATTTATGTACATGTATTTGTATGACAATGCAATCTCATGGAGAAATACAATACTAGAGTTTCAATTACAGATTCTCACTCTGATACACATAATAAGATGACATTCTTTCATAGTAAGTGAACCAAGATGTCCTCAATTTTCTGGATTTGGCTCTCTCTAAGAAAGGCATCAGTTAGAACCGATTCAAACACCAAAGAAGCCATCGATTTGGTTTTCTAAGAAAGGTATCAGTTAGAACCGATTCAGCAACAAGAGGCACCATAAGACACAAGGCCGCTGCAACGAAAGAAAAGTTTACAAACTATCAGCAAGGTAGAAAAAAATTATTCAGATTATCTGATCTGGGTTCTCATGGCATAAAAATTTCTGAATCAAGGCTCTCCATCCGGCAGCCTAATAAGTAAAAGATGGTACCGCAGCAATAGTAAAATTCGTGGCAGCTATAATATGCATTGTTCAATGAGGATAGTGGGATGGCATTTGGCAGAATAATGGATGAAGTGAACATAGCAGCTACAGCTGGTGCTTTGGTGAGCCTGGTATGCAGGGCCATAGCTACAGCCGTAGCTTTCTCCTATGGAACCTCGTTTTGTTTACTTTTACACTCACATTGCTAAGAACTTGGTGCAGTAAAAGATTCCTAAATTGAGATCTAGGAGAAAGAGAAATTGAACATAGTTTTGAATTCAAAGAAATTTGAAAATCAAGGAAAACAATGCAAGGATTTATAAAGTGGTTTTATCCAGGTACACATTCTGTATATCTATAATCTATCATCAAGTTGTCTTGATAGTCATTGTCTTGCAATTCAAGAAGAATTCACTGTAGTAATAGATTCAAATTATCAGGAAATGAAAACCTTGGGAATTTTAAAATTGAACGAATTAGCTGATCTAGTTGTCACACTTTGAAGCTAATAAGACTGCCAATGTTCTGGCCAATATGAGGCAGAAACCTTAAAATACATTAGATGCAACCCACAAGAAGATTTTTCCCTGCCTAATTGGTGCATCTCGATGTAGAATATTTGTAATAATCTGATCGGGAAAGTACGGACCCCCATAAGCCTAAATATATAGGCAGTATCTGTAAACCCTTACCGGTTTACTATAACTGGGCTCACAGATAATATTAAACGCATATCATGTCTTAATTATGTAACTAAGGGGTACTAAGGGCTAAACTGCAATAATACCCTCTAAGAAAGAGCAAACTAGAATACAAAGACAAACTCTTAGCACATATATAATAGGTTTCTCATGAACAACATTCATACTTCAGCTGAAAAATATTATCCTAATGCTCTGGCTTGGCTCTCTGAGAATCGCATTGGTTAGAATAGATTCAAATACGAAAGAAAAAACAAATTTACAAAGTATCGAAAAGAGAGATTCAAAATTTCATTGTATGTCATAAAGCTTCTTAATCAAAATTCTCTTTTTGTACAGCCTGGGAAGTGGTAATATAGCAATACTAGAGGGTGGTGCTTGGCATGATAAAGGATGAAATGGACACAAATCGTTTATCATTTTCTTGTTACTTCTGCTTTCTTCGAACTGTAAATACTATTTAGATACTTATAGAAGCAGACATAATAACCAAGATATGCCAATAGGACTTGCTTAGCAATAAAATTGCATAATATCCGACTCTTACAAGACTGTCTCTTGCCTTGAAGTTAAAGTTCTACTTCTCAATGGCACTTATTCTCTTCAACTTGGGTCAGTTAAACAGTTGCGAATTGGAGAAGAAAAGTTTAGAAAGAGTTTTGAGCTCACAAGAAAGTTTATGTTCGAAAATTTTTGAGAACAATAAAAGCATTAGGGTCTACAGATGATGATTTGGGCTGTCCTTCATCTCCGTCAAAGCTAATTAGACATCTAATGCTGTCGGTAATGTTCTCAAAAACCATAAAATATATGAAACTTAGTACAAGATTTCTCTGTAACCTATTTGGTTTATCTTCCTAGTGAAATTATAAGGTTATAGTGTACAAAACTGTATATGGTTTTCCAAATATATATTAACATTCTACCATGTCACTCAAAATGGAAAGATAAATCTGTTAGACTGAACATGATAGATATATATAAAACTTGCCTGTCAAAAATCAACAAATTTTAGATAAGGCCTAAAGATTTTTGAAAGAATTTCTATTTAAAAAAAAAAAAATATGAGCTGCTTTTTATTTCAGAATCCAATATGGTGATCACTCCTCATACCCCACTTTCACAAGACGCACCTCGATGTCATCGAGAGGTACCTTCAATTTCCTCAAAAGAGAAAGACATGAGATGGTGATATAGGCGCTATGATCAGATTGTCAGTTATGCTGAACATTGCAGGTCCCTTAACAAATCCTCCTGTTGCAGTGTCCTAGAGCTCGACTTGGGACCACACAGTTAAAGCTGAAATTCCCTTCTGGGAACAATTGATTCATCAGAAATCAGTTTGCTACCAGAAAATACATAATAGTATTGCGGATGTTTATCTTCCTCAATGCCCAAAGGGTGATTCTCATAGCCAAAATTAGGGGCAAGCTTCGGACTGAGAAGCATTGCCTTGTGCTCATTTGATTTCAGAAATTGCTCAGCATCAAGTTCATGAATGCTATTGTACAGATGATTTACGCATCCTTTCCAAGTGCGGTGTGCATTTCCTTCACTGCATACCCAAGTGGTACAGTGAGGAAACTGAAGAGTAAATCAACAAAAGCTTCACTTGTTTCTGCATAACAAACCATTTCTTGGATTTGCTGACTGTAAGCTTGATCATGAAAGTCTTCCCCCTTACATCTGATGCTGGTTCCCCCATTCAGATTTAATATAGTTGCCATATCAAAATATTTTGGTCCAACTCGGTGTGGATTGTGCTTCAGAAAAGTTTCTGTCAAAGGTGTCTTTGATACCAGTGAAATCTTGAGCAAAGTCAAAACCTGAAAGAATAAATCTGGTTACTATACTATTAATAGCATAACTCAAAATCATGGTTGAAAATCACTAGTTACCTCATCTATTCCTATGTCAAGATTGCACTCCTCGGTGGTCATTCCATCGATCAGTCCTAGATTTAAGAGTAGAGAAAGGGTTTCTTCAGTTGATGGGGGCATTACTCGTAATTCATCACTTATCATAAACCGGGTCATTTCTTTAACAAACACCCCTCTATCTTGAGCAAGACATTTTTTTTCCGGCAGAAACTTCTCAATATTTATGCACTCTCCACAGCGACAAATAACATCTTTATAGTGACTTAAATGAGGGCAATGACCGCCTTCACCAAGAAAGTACCTCAGCGGCTCAGTCTCATCAACATTCAATTTTAGTCTCCTGCACTGATCTGCAGCTGCATTTCTGGGGTATAACAACATTTTCTTGCATGCTTCAGTCCTGAATAATTGCACATCAAGATTCTCAATGCATTCATATAAATTATTCATGCAGCCTATCCCCATCGTTGGAGGTCGATTACGGATGAGCCTGATGATTGTTCCCATTGGCATCGTCAAGAAACTAAAGAGGACATCAATAAATTCCTCATTTGATTCAGCAAAGATAACTTTTTTGCTCTCCTTGTCCACTAAGGCCTTCAAGCTAATAGGTTTTACCTGTTCGTCTTCCATTGACTATATGTTTTCTCTTCTTTCTCCGTTTCAAATACCCAAACCTACAAGTCGGAAAAAAAGTTAATCAAACATTTTTGTATCTGTTTGAAGCCTTTTCCATTCTCTTAAAGTTGAATTTCCACTGAAACATGCACACTGATATGTTTGGAATTTCAGCGTTTGGCAAGTTAAATTTGTTTATCATATGCTGGAAATTAATTATTTCCTGAATATACCCATTTTCATGAAGTAAAATGATAACTTAATTTAAAGGCTTTGATCCAAATTAAGCTGTTGTCCACAGGAAATATTTATGCATTGTAAAATTAATCCCAAAACAAAAAAAGAAACTGCTCACACTATTTAAGACTTAAGAGAGCAAGGTAGTAAATATTCTGAGAAAAGAATTGTTAATTATAACTGGAAGTCTAGAACTAAACCATTAAAAATAATCCCATTGAAATCACCCCAATCTTCAATTTTTATAGCTTGGTGGGGGCTGAAATAACAGTTAAATCATTCCAAACATATATAATTGAAGAAGATTAAACAACTAATAGAAAAGTCTTTACAGACCAAAACTCATATATCGGCTAGCTCAAGAACCCAACATTATATAAGAAGTGATGATTTATGATGAAGTTATGTATGGGTACCTGATGATCGCCAAATGCAGCTAGTTAGCTAGCTACTGTTGCTCGAGAAGTGTAATGAAGGAGTTAGGAAAGGTCGGAGAGCGAAGAGAAAAACAAGTAGAAAAGCAGTTATAGAGACAGTAAAGTAAGTTAAAGGTGCATCACTGTGTAGACCTATCATCTTTAGCAATTTTTGGGAAAGGAATTTCTTAATGGAGAAGAAATCAACAGTCCTATAATTTACCTGACTTTTAATTTATCTTAGAATAATGAATGAATTTGTGTCTAATTTGTATGGATTTGTTTTTGAGCTTGTACAAATTTATTTTCGGGTTTCAAATAAGCTTCTAAAGTTCTATAATTTTGAGCAAGAGGATCTATTACGGTCTTCTGAGTTTGAGTCCCTATAGTTGTTAATAGGAGTGATTATTGAAATTCTTATTTATCGATAGTTTTAAAGCCTCATAAGACTAATTGAGGTATATGCAAATTGACTCAATCATTACAAAAGAAAAAAAAAAAAATACAGACGAAGGAGAAGATCAAGAACTAAGAAAATAGAAGAGAAGAGACGGGGAGAAAGAGAGAAAAAAAAAAAAGTTGAGGTGACAAAATGAGTTGAGGTGACAGAATAAGGTGATAGGTGAAAAGAAGAAAGAGAAAATGAGGGGGAAAAGAGAAAATAAAAAAAATAAGATGATATTGATAGGTGAAAAGAAGAAAGAGAAAATACAATAAATTATTGAGCTCGGTTAGGCTCGAGCTCGAGTACCACTTTAGGCTCGCGAGCTTGAGCTCGAACATGAATATTAAAGCTCAATTGAGCTCAGCTCGAGTTCGAGCTCGTTACTGTTCATCACCAGCCGAGCTCGAGTACTGAGATACTCGACTCGGCTCGGCTCGGCTCGTATACATCCCTACTCACATCACACCATTTGATTGCGAATTAGTTCAAACAACAATTTTAGTCACTCAAATACCGTATGAATGGCCCAGTTCATGTGTTTTGCTTCTAATGGTACAATATTACTTATCATAATATCACAAAAAACTTGAAATATAATTTGAACCCTGTAACCCCCATTGAGTGATTTGGTGATAAAAGGGCAAAATAAGGTTTCATGAACTCCTGAGTTCAAGTCTCCATAGTCCCTAATAGGGGTGACTATTGAGGGGCTTACCTTGTTGTTAACTTCAGGACCCTAAAGGATTAGTTGAGGTACGCGCAAGCTGGCCCAGACACCCCGATCACAAAAAAAAAAAAAAAAAAAAAAAAATTGACCCTGTTTCTAGGGAATTAAGTCATTTTTGTACCTCAGGTTAACTTAACGAACTTATCAAATTACAACCATTTACGTTTTTGCTAAGTTGTGTCGGTAACCCAACTTAATAACAGGAATTTTAGGGTCCGTTTGTTTTATTATTTTGGATAGAATTTTGGGAATAATATTGGGCAGTTGAATAGGGTGAGTATTATGAGGTAAAATTTAAAAATTAACAAAAAACCCCATAGGTTTGCTAATTTAACTAAACACCCCGGTATATAAAATTTTTGTAAAATTACAAAAACACCCCCACGCACCCACAGTGCCAGATTCTGGCTACCAATGTTGGAATCTGGTCGAAATATGTCGTTACGATGCAGACCGGTCGGATTTGCAGTACGTGTGTCTATTTTGCCTTTTCTGACCAGATCCACCACAGATTTGGCCGGAAAAAGCCAGATCGACGGCCAGATCTGGCCGTCAATAGCAGAAAACGGCCAGATCGGTGAATTACGACTAGTTCTGATCGTTTGTAGGCCGTTGTGATGATTTTGGCTACCACCGACGATGGTTGTTGGAATCTGGCAATTATGGGTAGATGGGGGTGTTTTTGTTAATTTTTAAATTTTTTTCTGGGGGTATTTATGAAATTAATAAACTTAAGGGATATAAAAATAATAAAAAATATACTAGTATTTCCTAAATAATTAAACAAATAAATATTTTGGGAATAAGATTGAGAATTCAGAATATAGATAGGAATATTAAACGCACCTTAAATTTCTTGTGGTGTTACGTAATCAGAAGACAACAGACAAGCAAAATATTGCACACAAAAGATTTCTAAGGGCACCCAAATCATCCAAACATGTACAGCCCGAAAGAAATAACAAAGCAATTACCATGGGCCCATTTGCTGATTAAGCCCATATCTACTTAATATAATAAACCCATCGAAATCCCACTTGCGTTTGGTTGATTGGAGGATAGCCTGATGATTGTTCCCATGGACATTGTCAAGAAACTAAAGAGGACATCGGTAAAATCCTCATCTGATTCAGCAAATATAACTCTGTTTTCAACAGCTAATTGCTATGGTTGTTCAAATACTGATACCAACCTGCATAACCATTGGTTAATCAATTACTTATCTAAGGCTAAAGCCAGTGTTCCATACACTTCAAGAACTGTAAATATTTATATAGAAGCTCATTTTCTGCCTAAAAACTTAGTAGATACTAATGGATGGCCCTTTTTCTGAAACAAGGAAAAGGATAATTCTAAGCAGTTCTCTTTTCAAGGTTGGAAGATTTAAGGACTGTTTCAACGTCCAAATGTAGGCAAACAATTATGCACATAAAAGGATGTTCAAATCCTACTATATGAATAGACACAAATAAGAAACAAGGATATATGTTTCTTTATATTTCTTAAGGGAGAAACAATAAACTGTCCGATACTGTACTTGACTTTTGATCTTCTTGTAAGAGAGAAAGTATTAATTCAACACAAGATGGAACAAAGCTATAATATATAGAAGAGAACAGAAATTGGTCTCTCAATCTTTTGTAGCCGTGACTCATTTTACCTCCAGCTCTTTACAAATCATATTCCATTTGTTTTTTAATGCTATCCACATTGGAGCTAAAATTGGAAATCTATCTCACAATAAATAGATACAATGCAAATCCTTTGTAGTAACATACTTATATGGAATACCTTCTGGTCTAAGAGCATACCAGAGTACAAACACAAATTTTAACACAAACTATAAATAGTTTTCACATAAACAACATTCCATATTTTAGCTGAAATTCGGATTTGGCTCTCTCAAAAAAGCATTGGTCAGAGTAGACTCAGATACAAAAGAAGCCACCAATAGACGCAAAGCCTACAAAATAAAATAAATTCACAAGGTATCAACAAGAGAATGGATATCATGCTTTCAGATAATCTTCAATGGATTCTCTTCTTGAACAACTTCTGAATCAAAACTCTCCATTTTTATAGTCTAATTAAAGGGAGATGGTAATGCAGTAGCAAAAACAGAATTGGCAGTAGCTTAGTTTGGTAGATTATTGGCTTGGCACAATAAACTGACAGCATTTGTACATTTTACTTCTATACTGTCACTTACTATTGATTGAAAAAAATGCATTTGTAGATGGCAATGCCTTGCAATTTGACAAGACTTACAACATAAAAATAATAAAAGATACAGATAGTATGGGAATCTAAAACCTTAAGAAGAAATGAGCTATTTGGCTGATGCAATTCTTCAGTGTTACTTAAGAGCAAATAAGACTTCTAATGCTCTTGTCAATTTGAGGAAAAACCTTAAAATCAGAAATCATGGGATGCTTTGTTAGAGTTTAATACTGAAATATTTATGTCAACTTACCTTCTCACGGCCCACATGCACAACACGCTCCTCAATATCGCTGAAAGGTACTTTCAATTTGTTCAGAACAGACAGACTTTGGAATTGAGATATGGGTGTGATGATCAGATTGTCAGTTACGGTAAACATTGTTGATCCAGTCACAAATCCTCCTCTTGTGGTTTCTTTAAAATAAGAATTAGGATCCTTGACAGTTAGAATTGACCTTCTCCGTTCAGATCCAGAAGGAATTTGATCATAAGAAGTCAGTTCATGACGATAAGGATATACATCATAATATTCTGTAGCACGGTATGTTGGGTGCAAACCTTCTTCAATGCCTAAAGGATGGTTATCATAGCTAAAATCAGGGGCCAGCTTCGGACTGATGAGCATTTCCTTGTGCTCATTAGATTTCAAGTATTTCTTAGCATCGAGTTCCTGAACACTATTGTACAGGTGAGTTAAGGATCCTTTTGAAAAGCCACTCTGCATTTCTTTTATTATATAACCAAGTGGAACAGTTAGGAAACTGGAAACTAAATCAACAAATTCTTTACTTGCTTCGGCAAAACAAACAATTTTCTTGGATTTGCTGATAATAAGCTTTACATGAATCTTCCCGTCCACATTTGATTCTGGTTCTTCCACTGTAGACTCAACATAGATATTCTGATCAAAATCTTCTTTGCCGAACTTTGGTGCTGAATTTTGTTTCAACAAAGTTTCGGTCAAAGGTTTCTTTGATACTAGTGAGCACTTGAGCAAAGTGAGAATCTGAAAGAAGGCATCAGGTCACGAACACAACCACAGTTTTGCTATCAAACAAATTGGGAAATTATTAATCATATTCAAATAGATGACATAATAAAAGATAATAGTAGATCTAACGCAGCGAGCGTAAAAACAAGGCTAACACACAATTATGGTTTTATGATCGATTAACAAGTATCAATCATAGAAACTTAATTTGTAAAATTGAAGGAAAATCTGAAAATTATTTTATATCTTAAAAAAAAAAATAATACCTTTATGTAGGGTAGTGACAGCTAAACCTAACAAAAGACTCTCAATCAATAAGGAAATAAAAAACAAATTAATTAAAAGAAAAAAGGAAATCCTAATTTTTGACTAATTATCACATTAGAAATAACTCTTAATAGAATAGAAAAAACGTACAAAAAACTTAAACGACCCCTAAACAAGTGGATTTTGGGCCTGATTATGACACCTAACAAGAGACTCGGGTTGCCACGTTGTCGGGCTCGAAACAAGTTTTTTGTTGATATCTTATAGGTCTCGTAACTCTTCACAAATCAAAAGTTATGGTTATTTTAAGTTGGTATACCCACGTTTGAGCTTTTGACGTTGGGCCCTCTCCAAGAAGTCATCTACTAAGCCTTCTATGTAAAGATCAAATTCAAAAGCCCTAATTTTTGTCAATTATAATTGTTGATTAATTAGCTTCTGGCATTTTTAGCTTGACTACGAAACGTTTTTTCTTTTAATCCCCATCATTTACTTCTAAAAAGCAAACTGCATTGAAGGTGGATTATTTTCAGGAGATGCTCATCACGAGCAGGGGCAGATCCAGGAGGAATGAAACTTAGGGGGTCAAACATTAAAATAACAATTAACATAAATATAAATATAAATAAAGGCAAATATTTGTATTAATAAAATTCTCATTAACTAATATATTTATAATTGTCCTCGACGAGATTTTATCTTTTAAATATATTGTGTAATGACTTCATTATCAATACTATCAAATACATCATTCTCTATGTACAAAACTAAACTATTATTCAACCACTAATCACTCATTCTATTTCGCAAACGATTATTCACAATATTTATTGTTGAAAATGCTCTCTCTATACTAGTAGTGACAACTGGTAAAATCAATGCTAATTTTATTAATAGATTAACTAATGGAAACATTCTATCCTTCTTAGTTTCAACCATTACTCTTGTAAGATCTCCAATCCCATTCAATTTCATAAATTTGACATTAGAGCATCCAAAATGTAAATATCAAATTGAGAATCAAGTGCTATGAATTCTAAGTTAGAAAAATCTTATGGATAAAGTTCAACAAGACGCATCAATTTTTGCTTATCAAAAGTAATAAAATTTTCATTTGGACATAAGCATGCCAAATAAAAATAATTCAGTATTTACCTCATTAAAACGATTATTCAACTATTGAAGCTATATATCTAGGACACTATAAAATACTTCAATACGGTAATGATGCACGTTTTTTATACCTTTAGTCTTCCATTGTGATCGCCCTTGAATAAAAAATTTGTCATCCATATTTAAAATTCAATGTCATGTTTGGCACAAAAAGAACAAACTTTGCTAAGTAAATTCTCCCATACACTATCTCTCATCAATTGTAAAGCTTGCTTACATGCTTCAACCAAATTCATAACGTTTACAATATCTTGATATTTTCTTTATAGTGCTTGAGAATGTTCATTTGTAAAGCTAAGTAAATCTTTTATCATAAATAGACTAAATACAAAATTAAATGATTGCATAAATTTCAATATATTATTAGAGAAAAATAGGGATCGGAGAGATAGAGGGGGACTTTGGACAAGAGAAAAAGTTGGGATTGGAGAAAAAAGGGAAAAATATATTATTAGAGAAAGTCAAAATTTTTAATTAATTTAATTTAGTGTAATTTGTAATTTAGTTTTTTTATGGGACAAAATGAAAAAATCAAAAAAATTCCAAGTGGGGTCACTTGACCCCATGTGGGTCTGCCCCTGATCACGAGCACGAATTATGTTTAATCATACAAAACGATTCTTAACTACAAATGATGGTAGAATCCGATAAAAATATTAAATTTTAGAATCAGAATGAAACAGTTACCTCATCTACTCCTACGTCGATGTTGTAGTAGTTATACGCCTCAATGGTGCTGCAGTCCGTGAGTCCTAGATTGGATAGTACAGAAACGCTTGCTTCTATTGATGAGGGCTTTACTTGTAGTTCATCACTTATTATAAATTGTTTCGGTCCTTTAACAAACACTCCTCTATCTTGAGCATCAAAAACTAACTTTTTTTCAGTCTTCTCTGACAACTGCATCGTCCTATCCATGAGCCGTCCACATTCGCAAACAGCATTAGGGTAGAGACTCAATAACTTGTGCACAGAAAGGGTACAATCCGTAGTGCACAAGAAGTACCTCGGATCCTCACCATCGTCAATTTGCAATTTTAGTCTCTTGTTCTGAGGTGCAACGTGATTTCTGGGGCATAGCAACATGGTCTTGCATGCTTCAGTCCAGAAACACTGCATATCAAGGTTCTTAATGCTTTCATACAAATTGTTCATGCAACCTACCGCCACTGTTGGTGGTTGATTATGATTAGAAATAAGCCTGATGATTGTTCCCATGGGCATTGTCAAGAAGCTAAAGAGAACATCAGTAAAGTCCACATCTGATTCCGCAAATATAACTCTGTTGTTCTCTTTATCCACCAAGGCCTTCAAGCTAATTGCTTTTGCTTCTTCCGTAGCCATTGAGAATATGCTTTCAAATCTTGCTTTGTTCAAATACTGAATACAACCTGCAAAATCCACGCTTAATCAATTACTTATCTGAGCCTGAAGCCTTGTGTTCATACACTTCAAGAAATTTTGAAATCTATGCAAAAGCTCATTTTCTGGCTAAAAGCATATATAGTTATTGGATTTCGTAAAATCTAATTGCAAAAAGCAGCAACTCAACAAATAGCCATCTTCTTGAAACAAGGAAAAAGGATAAATTGATTCAAAGGCACCATGATTCTAAGCTGATCTCCACAGGGCTGGAAGATTTAAGGACTTTTTCTAAGTGCAAATGTTCACATACATATTGTCAATACATTAAGAAAAAACATAAATCATTGAACAAAGTAATGAATTTTATATAAACTTTTACATAAACTTACTTAAAGGAGTTCAATGGGCTAGAAAAGAGCATCATCAGGAAAATCAAAACAATAAGATGGTGGAGATGTGATCATTAATTAAGGTTCACAAGTCGTTAAAATCTTGAGTGTTTAGAGGTTTCTGGGATTGAAATAATGATTAAAACATTCTAAACACTGACGAATAAAAGCTAAGATAAAATTACTAATACAAGTCATAATTCTACAGAGAAATCAGCCCATATAGTCATGCGATTAACTCTAGCTCAGATGCTCAAGAACTTAACTTCAAAAGTAACTGATGTTATATGACAAAAACATATATAGTACCTGGTGATCACCAAGCTACTGTTGCTGGAGAGGAGTTCAATGAAGGATTCTGGGAGCAGCGAGCAGAGAAAATCAAGTAGAAGAGAGGTTTTAAGTAAGTTAAAAAGTGCATCCGTACATGTGTGGTCCACTATAGCAACTTCCTTTCGAAGGCAAGAATTCTTAAGGGAGAAGAAATGAACAGTCCAGTATTTGACTTGACTTTAGATCTTCTTGTAACAGAGAAAATATTTATTCTTAGAGAAAATGGAACTAAGCGACTGTTAATTTTAAAGGTGTATCCCTACATGTGTGGTCCATTATCTTTAGCAACTTCCTTTTTAAAGCAAGAATTCTTAAGGGAGAAGAAATTAACAGTCCAAATCATGTAACTTAAGCAAACAAAAATGTTGCAACTCTACGGACGAATACATTATAAAGTAAGATATGGTGCCTGGTTTCCAGCTAGTACATTGCTGGAAAGAAGTGTAATAAGATTTTAGAGAGGATCAAAGAGTGTACTGAGCAGAAAATTTTAGGAAAGAATATGTACAGTAAGTTTAGGGTGCAGTAGTACTCTTTATCATCTTTAGCTACTTAATGAAGAAGAAATGAACAGTCCTGCATGCCTTGAATATTGCTATATCTTCTTGGAAAAAAGAAAATTTATGGAAAGGATGGAACTAGGTTATGAGAGAAGTAAAGAATGATGGAGCAATAATGCATGAATGATGCCAAGGCAAGATGGATTAATTAATGAAGTTGAAAGAGCTCAAATGACTCAAAAATTAATATACGTATATATATTTATAGCCAAGAGTTCGGTTATTTTGTAATTTTGTTGACATAATTTGTGTTTTTGGTCAAGGGAAAAGTTACTTTTGTAATTAATATATAGATATATTCATTAATCAGTATAAAGAAAATTCACAAGCTACCAATTACAAGATAATTCATTATCCCTTCATTCTTAACTATTAACACCTATCTGATGTCAAATTAGGGTCACTTTTTCTTGGAAACAAAGTTTACTTCCCACATCTTAAACAAAATGTATGAATGTATAATTTATTGCCTTTCAGTTGAGCCAATGTTTCAGTCCACAAACACCATGTCATTTGCCTATTCATGCGTCTTGCTTCTGGAAATTTTATTAAAAAAAAAAATTTCAGAAGTTTAGCTTCCAAACTCGCATAAAAACCTGAAAGTTGTAACGCAGATGTCCTGTTTCTCAATTTGTGCAGATTAGAAGAAAAACATAGTTTTGTTGTGTGTGTTTGTGAGAAAGAAAGATGGTATGCACATAAGCAAACTCAAATTGCAAATACAATGCAAATCCTTTGTAGTAACATATATGCAATACCCTCTTGTCTAAGAGCATGCTAGAGTACAAACACAAATTTTAACAAAATATATAAAAAGGTTTCACATGAACAATATTCTATATTTTAGCTAAAAAAAATTATTTTGACTATTTTGGATTTGACTCTCTCATAAATGNGGTTCAAATTAATTCAAAAAATAGGGTAATATTTTTAGAATATTGTACCAAACGCTATTTAGAGAATAGGATCCAGAATAGGGATAAAAATATTAAACCAAACATGCACCATGTCATTGGCCTATTCATGCATATTGCTTTTGGAAATTTTATAAAAATAAAAATTTCAAAAGTTTAGCTTCCCAAACTTGCATAAAAACCTGAAAGTTGTAACGCAAATGTCCTGTTTCTCAATTTGTGCATATTAGAAGAAAAACATAGTTTTGTCTTGTGTGTTTGTGAGAAAGAGAGATGGTACACACAAAGCAAACTCAAAATTGCCAATACAATGCAAATCCTTTGGAGTAATATATTTACATGCAATACCCTCTGGTCTAAGAGCATACCAGAGTACAAACACAAATTTCAACACAATATATAAATAGGTTTCACATGAACAACATTTCATATTTTAGCTGAAATAAGATTATCCTGACTGTATTGGAATTGGCTCTCTCAAAAAGGTATTGGTTAGAGCAGATTCAGATACAAAAGATGCCACCAATAGACGCAAAGCCTGCAAAGTAAAATAAATTCATAAGGTATCAACAAGGGAAACAAATTTATAAGGTATCAAGAAGGGAATTGACATCATGCTTTCAGATAATCTTCAATGGATTCTCTTCTTGAACAGCTTTTGAATCAAAACTCTCCATTTATATAGTCTAATTAATGCGAGGTGGTAATGCAGAAACAAAAGTAGAATTGGCACTAGCTTAGTGTGGTAGATTATTGGCTAGGCAGAATAATCTGATAGCATTTTTATTTTACTTCCATACTTTCACTTACTATTTGATTGAAAACAATGCATTTGTAGATGGCAATGCCTTGCAATTTGACAAGACTTACAACATAAAAATAATAAAAGATACAAATAGTAGAGGAATCTAAAACCTTATGAAGAAATAAGCTATTTGGCTGATACAGTTCTTCATTGTTACTTTAAAGAAGCTAATAAGACCTCTAATGCTCTTGCCAATGTAAGGAAAAACCTTAAAATATATGTACGAAACTTTATATTGTTTGCTGCACCTTGCTGGGTGAATTTCTGTGATAATGTCCCAGAATAATGTTTTGCACTAAGAAAATGAAAATGATACATATAGCTGGTCTCATCATACTTTATGGTTTCCAATAGTAACATTCTAGCAGGTTAAAGTTAAATCATAGGGAATTGAATTTCGAAGAAATTCTTAAAGGTTGTATGCCAAAATCACCACGCATCTCTATAACAAGATCTCAAAATAGTCAAAAGAAACTACCATCAGAAATCATGGGATGCTTTGTTAGAGTTTAATACTGGAATATTTATGTCAACTTACCTTCTCACTGCCCACATGCACAACACGCTCCTCAATATCGCTGACAGATACTTTCAACTCTTTCAGAAGACACAGACTTTGGACTTGAGACATGGGTGTGATGACCAGATTATCAGTTACGGTAAACATTGTTGGTCCAGTCACAAATCCTCCTCTTGTGGCTTCTTTAAAATGAGACTTAGGACCCTTGACAGTTAAAATTGAACTTCTCAAAGTAGATCCAGAAGGAATTTGACCATCAGAAGTCAGTTGAAAATAATAACCAGTTGGTTCACTATAAGATTCTCTAACACAGTATGTTGGGTGCAAACCTTCTTCAATGCCTAAAGGATTGTTCTCATGGCTAAAATCAGGGGCGAGCTTCGGACTGATGAGCATTTCCTTGTGCTCATTAGATTTCAAGTATTTCTCAGCATCGAGTTCCTGGACACTATTGTACAGGTGAGTTAAGGATCCTTTTGAAATGCTACTCTGCATTTCTTTTATTATATAACCAAGTGGAACAGTTAGGAAACTGGAGACTAAATCAACAAATTCTCCACTTGTTTCGGCAAAGCAAACCATTTTCTTGGATTTACTGATGATAAGCTTTACATGAATTTTCCCATCCACATTTGATTCTGATTCTTCTATTGTAGATTCAACATAGATGTGCTGATCAGAATCTTCTTTGCCGAACTTTGGTGCTGAATTTTGTTTCAACAAAGTTTCTGTCAAAGGTTTCTTTGACACCAGTGAACACTTGAGCAAAGTGAGAACCTGAAAGAAGGCTGACAGTGACAGGTCACAAACACAACCACAGTTCAGCTATCTAACAAATTGTGAGCTTAATAATCATATTCAAATAGCTGATGTAATAAAAGATGATAGTAGATCAAATTCAAAAGCCCTACCTTTTGCCAATTATAATTGTTGACTAGTTAGCTTTTGACATTTTTAGCTTAACTGCGAAACATTTTTCTTTCCTTTTTTCTTTAATTCCCATCATTTACTTCTAAAAAAGCAAAGTGCATTGAAGGTGAATTATTTCCTTGAGATGTTCATTAAAAGTACAAATTGGTTTCTTCATGTACTAAGTTTGATCCTACAAAACGGTTCTTAACTACAAATAATGGTAGAATCTGATAAAATTATTAAAATTTAGAATCAGAATGAAATAGTTACCTCATCTACTCCTATGTTGATGTTGTACTCCTCAACGGCGCTAAAGTCCATGAGACCTAGCTTGGACACCACAGAAAGGCTTGCTTCTATTGATGAGGGCTTTACTTGTAATTCATCACTTATTATAAATTGGGTCCGTCCTTTAACAAACACTCCTCTATCTTGAGCATCTGACAACTTGATCGTCCTATCCATGAGCTGCCCACATTTGCAAACAGCATTAGGGTAGAGACTCAGTAAATTGTGCTTATAAAAGGTACAATCCTTAGGGCACAAGAAGTAACTCGGCACCTCACCATCGTCAACTTGCAATTTTAGTCTCTTGTTCTGAGGTGCAGCAGCATTTCTGGGGCATAGCAACATGGTCTTGCATTCTTCACTCAAGAAACACTGCATGTCAAGGTTCTTAATGCTTTCATACAAATTGTTCATGCAACCTGTCCCTATTGTTGGTGGTTGATTATGATTAGACATAAGCCTGATAATTGTTCCCATGGGCATTGTCAAGAAGCTAAACAGAACATCAGTAAAATCCTCATCTGATTCCACAAATATAACTCTATTGTTCTCTTTATCCACCAAGGCCTTCAAGCTAATTGCTTTTGCTTGTTCCTTAGTCATTGGGTATATGCTTTCAAATCTTGCTTTGTTCAAATACTGAATAAAATCTGCAAAATCAATGCTTAATCAATGACCTATCTAAGCCTGAAGCCTTGTGTTCATACACTTCAAGAAATTTTGAAATCTATGTAAAAGCTCATTTTCTGGCTAAAAGCATATATAGTTATTGGACTTTGTAAACAAAATCTAATTGCAGAAAGCAGAAATTCAAAAACACCACGATTCTAAGCTGATCTCCAGAAGGCTGGAAGATTTAAGGACTTTTACTTAGTGCAAATGTTCGCATACATATTGTACATTAGAAAAAACATAAATCATTAAACAAATTAATGAGTTTTACATAAACTTACTTAAAGGAGTTCAATGGGCAAGAAAAGAACATCATCAGAAAAATTAAAACAAGAAGATGGTGGAGATGTGCAATTAATTTGATCATTAATTAAGGTTTACAAGTTGTTAAAATCATGAATGTTTAGAGCTTTCTGGGAGTGAAATAATGATTAAAACATTCTAAAAACTCGTGAATAAAAGCTAAGATTAAATAACTAGTACAAGTCATAATTCTACAGAGAAAACACCCCATATAGTCATGCTATTAACTCTAGCTCAGATGCTCAAGAACTTAACTTTAAAAAGTAATTGATGTTATATCACAAAAACATATATAGTACCTGGTGATCACCAAGCTACTGTGGCTGGAGAAGAGTTCAATGAAGATTCAGAGAACAGAGAGTGGAGAAAATCAAGTAGAAGAGAAGTCTTAAGTAAGTTAAAGGTGTATCCGTACATGTTTGGTCCATTATCTTTAGCAACTTCCTTTTAAGGCAAGAATTCTTAAGGGAGAAGAAATGAACAGTCCAGTACTTGACTTGACTTTTGATCTTCTTGCAACAGAGAACATATTATTCCAAGATAAAATACCCATACTGGTGTTAGCAATGTCTTACAGCCTGGCAACAAAATCGTTAAGGATCTAAGGAGTGATTAAGAGGCCCAGAAATCTCGGAGTGATAAGGATGAAAATCCTCACAATGATCTAAAAATCAGTAGAAAATTTGAGTGATCAAGAAGACTTCGGGTCAACGAATTCAAACCAAAAAGATAGTCCAACAAGATGAGAAGATCACGCATGAATCACCAGCACTATCGGATCTGATCAAATTCAAGTCCAGATGCATTCCATTCAGCAATAGAGTTCTTATGGACATAATGCAGAGTTGTTAATTTCTTTATTTTATATAAATCCTTGTATAAGCAGTGCTCACGTTAAGAGTGCAACATATTTTTATTCAATAAAAGAACAAAGACACATAGCCTTTTTTGAATTCTCTTCTACTGGAACTTAATTATTTCCAGAATATACCCATTTTCATTAAGTAAAATGATAATTTAAAGACTTTGATCCAAATTAAGCTGTTGTCCACAGCAAAAATTTATGCATTGTAAAATTAAATATACTGAGAAAAGAATTGGTAATTATAACTGGAAGTCGGGAACTAAACAATTAAATTCAATCCCATTGAAATCACTTCAATCTTCAATGTTTATAGCTTTGTGGGGGGTTGAAATAACAGTTAAAAGCATATATACTTGAAGAAGATTAAACGACTAATAGAAAAGTCTCTACAGACCAAAACTCATGTATCGGCTAGCTCAAGAACCCAACATCATATAAGAAGTGAAGATTTATGATGAAGTTATGTATGATACCTGAGGATCGCCAAGTGCAGCCAGTTAGCTAGCCAGTGTTGGGAAAAGTTGGAGAGCGAAGGGAAAAACAAGAAAAAAAGCGGTTTTAGAGACGGTAAAGTAACTTAAAGGTGCATCACTTTGTGTAGACCTATCATCTTTAGCTCTCTTTTGGCTAAATGCCATATAGAGGTTAAATAAATTGAGGCTTTAAGTTTTTTTTTTTTTTTTTTTTCTATTAATTGAGTGTTAACCAATTATTTATTTTATCAATTAAAGTCAGAAATTTATATTAGTGGAATAATTTAATTATTTAAAAGCAAAATTTCTTATAATTGGAAACATTAACAAAATCATGCACTTCCAAATTTGTGGTATTACGTAATCAGAAGACATTTCTGAGGGTACCCAAATAAAATCCAAACAGGTCCAGCCCGAAGAAATAACAAAGCAATTACCGCCGGCCCATTTGTTGGTAATAAGCCCACAGAATTTTAGCTCATTATTCAAATCAAAATCCATTTCTACTTAATTAAAGTACCGTTACACCAACAATTCATTCTCACAAACTTCTTTTACAACCCCGACACATATCTGACTTGGCATTGTCACTGCAACTCCACCACACCCAAGACACAAAAGTTTGACTAGACCAAAGAAACGACTATTCTTTCATAGGGAACGGTCATTCCTTACGAAGGAACAAGATTGTTCCAAGAAGGAGAAGAAGAAGAAGGAACATGGTTGTTCCTTCAAAAGGGACATACACCGTTCCTTCATAGGGGACAACCGTTCCTTCTGAAGGAACGACCGTTTGTTTCTCATAGTGTCTTGTGTGTGGTGGCAGCTAACGTGACAATGCTAATCTATTGACATGTTAGGGTTGTAAGAGAGATTTGTGAGAATGGGTTGTTGGTATAACATTACTCCTACATAATATAATATAAAAGTTAATCTAATTTTTTATCCTAGAATACAAAGACAAACTCTGAACACATATGTAAAATAGGTTTCTCATGAACAACATTCCATACTTTAGCTGAAAAATATTTTTCCTAATGTTCCGTTTGGTTCTCTAAGAAACACTTTGGTTAAAGTAGATTCAGATGCGAAAGAAAAACAACTTTACAAGGTATCAACAAGAGATATTCAAATAATTCATTTTATGTCATAAAGCTTCTGAATCAAAATTCTCTTTTTTGTGCAGCCTTAGGTGGTGCATTGGCATAATAAAGGATGAAATGGATGCAAATCGTTTATCATTTCTCTTTGTTACTTCTGTGTTCTTTGAACTGTAAATACTTGAGATATACAGCTCGGAATGACATTATTCTTGAAGCTATGGAAGATATGAAACAGTTCTACAACTTTCATGTTTTGGGTCTTTCCTAATTCTTACTGGAAGAGGGTGAAACTTGGTTCGAAGTTGCCGCAACACATTTGCGAACGATCGTTCATTCATAAAGGAACAACCGTTCCTTCATAAAGGAACAACCTTTATGAAGGAACGGCCGTTCCAAATTTTTTTGTCCCAAATCTCGTTGGCCATGTGATTTCCCACATGGCCTTGACCTGCATGTCGTGTCTTCACACAAGTGCTTGATCCGTTGTGAGTTTTTACCCACAACATATCTGTTTTGGGCAGCCTGTTGTACTCTTTATAAAATCGCTCCCATTTGCAATACGGTGCATATTTTTTAGCAAAATAAAATTCCACGTGTTATTACATGTGTGAGGATCGCGTTGGTTGGTCTACGTAAGTTTTTGTTCATTTGGTTTACAAACAAGCAACGTTGGTGCGCATGAATTCGCTACATATTCGTAAATCGGTCATAACGGATGCTATAGTATGTCAATTGATTCACGAATTGTATCAGTAGCTTACTAATATGTTGGTACACGTTCAGTACGTCTTTAACACTGCTGCCCGAATGCGTCGACGTGCATAAAACTACTTTAACAAGCAGCCTGCACAATGGGCTTATTTTTGGGCTGTTTCCACGTTGTCGCATGTTAATGGCGAACCAAAAAAATTCCATAATATGTTGCTGCATATTATAAACATTTTAGAGGCCTAATTGGATGGAGTCCAACAACAAGGGACTAAACTGAAATGTTTATATAACTTTTTGGGTTTAAATAAACAAGTTTAACATCAAGGGGCAATTCTAAATTTACAAAAATGATCATAATTAATTTTTTGATTGATTTATGCATATTCTTATATTTGAGTTTGCATGGTGTTTGGTGCGTTTGCCTTTAGACCTAGTACTAGTTAATTTTGGGGTCAATTTAAAAAAGGCATACGTGCCTTGTCTTTCTTTATACTCTCTTGTAATTCTTTCTCCCATCTTACTCATCTCGCATGCAAATCAAGGTTTTTTATTGTTTATGTAAAATTAAATTAGAATTTATTTTAATTTAATGTAATGATCGAGAAGAAGAAGCATTAGATTGAAGAAAGCGGGTTTTTGAATTGAAGATTCCTCTTTTATTTTCTATTACCTAGGTTGACTTACAAATTCCTTCATACTCGAGGAATTTGGTTTAGTTAAAGCAATTGACCAACACGTTTATCTTTATTGCTTAGTATGCATGCTAAGGGTGAATGTTATGGATACAAAATGTAAGTAAAGATAATAAAATGGATGAGACCAAAAGCAAAAAACCCTCATTAAAGATATTAAGTCTTGTTAACGCCTTCCAACACTATGGACTTAGTCAAACCATTGTTCATCATAACCTTGTTCGCATTAGCAAAGGGTACACTTCTAGCAATGAGAGGCTAAGTCACATTGTAGTTTTTCCTTAATAGTATTGGGTTAAGACTTAACTAGTTGTTTGGCTTGTTCGATCAATGAAGGTTGAAATGTACTAGAGTCATAGTAGAGAAGTGCAATCTAATGATGCACGGGTTGACATATAGTGTCTGCTTTACTGATCCAAGAGTTACACCTGAGGTCAATGGTTGGTGTCATTGGATTGTGTAATTGGTTTGTTGGCCCAATTTATATTTGAAAATTAATGGTTGGTGTCATTAGTTGATATAAATTGAGTTTGTTGACTTACCTAATTCAAACCATTTTGACTTTTTTGATCAACAAAGGTTTAAAATGGAATTGATGGGATCTTGACCCACTAGGAAGACCAATGGGCCTTCCCGAATTTTATAGTGAGGGCTATTGAATCTTGAGTAAAATAATTGGAGCGTTTAATTGATTAAAGACCTAATTAATTAAATTAATAATATGATACTAATTCTGTTAATTTATGCACTTGTAGATCATACAAAATGACAAAGAACACTTTATCGTTGTGATCAATTATCTAAAAGGAAAACAGTTGGATGGATCCAACTTCACAGATTGGTATAAAAATCTTCGGATTGTACTCAAATCCGAGAAGAGGTTATACATCCTTGATGAGCCTATTTAGGCTACGCCTGGTCCTATTGCTACTTAGGAGGAGAGAGATACTTCTGCAAAGTATCTTTACAATGCTGACACTATACAGTGTACTATGTTAGCATCGATGACGTCAAAACTACAAGAGCAACATGAACACTTGGATGCTCTATCTATTGTTAAGCATCTCAAGAAGCTCTTCCAGAGTCATGCTAGGCACAAGAGGTACGAGGCGTCAAAGGCATTATTTAGATGCTAGATGGCTGAGGGTCCCCAAGTTAGCCACAATGTGCTTAATATGATTAAGTACATTCTGAGGTTGGAAACTTAGGGATTGATCATGAATGCAGAATTATCTACGGATCTAGTTCTGCAATCCTTGTCTGATTCATTCTCTCATTTCACATTGAACTTCAATATGAAACAATGGAGAAGACCCTCCCATAGCTCTTGACTATGCTCAAGACTGTAGAACTAGATATGAGGAAGTCAAAACTAGTGTTGTTAGTTGTTGCTGCCGCTAGAAGGGGCAAAGGTAGAGCCAAGGCCAAATCTAAGCCCAAGTCTAAGCCTCAAGATTCATTGAAGCCTGTTAGTGGTGTTAGCAAAGATGGGAAGGTGGTTTGCTTCCACTGTGGCAAGCCTAGCCAGTGGAAGAAACACTCCTCCAACAATGGCCTAGATCCATGCACATGGTACACAAAATCTGACCCTAAACATGATCCCTAACACAAACCAACATTCCCACATGACACCCACCAAACTTAAAAAACTCACACAGAGAAAAAGAAAAGACACTAGCACACACCATAATGAAACCAACATCAACTAACCCACTATCAATCCCTGACTAATTCCTAGGGATATTCCAATCATCCAACAGACTTAGCACCCAAGGATTCTTTTTAATGGGAAAGCTCATAAGACGGAGCCTAACTAACCTAGACACCTACCAGCCAATCCTACACCAGTGACGCCCTTGGCCCCGGAACATACAGGCATTTCTTTCCTGCCAAATGCAATACACCGCACAGCTAAGAGGAGGCGACAAATCGAAGCCCAAACACCTTTACCCATTAGATTATTTGCCCACCAAGTACCAATATTATCCCAACTCATGATCTTTTTTGTAAAAGATGAATTATAATCCTATCTCCTTCCAACCATTTTATACTCAATCACATAAATCCAATGTTTGAAAGTCTCCCCAAGTCTATTTACTTCAAACTGGGACCGCATTGAAGTAATTGTCATCCCAACTACATTAACAAAATTAGTTAAAGAATCTAGCCAATCTGGCCTTTTCCATTCTTTATAACACTTTTCATTAGTTTTTCCATATGAAGCCAAAAATTCGGTATAAAGAAATTATTCCATAACAAATAAACAACAATTTGCATAGAAATAAAAGAAAAAGAAATTCATGATCTTGCATCAATGAATGCAGTGCACCTAAAAAACAGGAAAGAGTAACGAAAATTCACAAGCTACCAATTACAAGATAATTCATTATCCCATCATTCTTAATTATCAAGACCACTATCTGATATCGAATTAGGGTCATCTTTCCCTGAAGGGAGAAGCGTTTCATCAGAAATCAGT